TTGTAATTAGTATCGTGATTGGAGCAGAGAACGCGGGTGAAAGAGTCAGGGAGAACATACCCTGCTGGGGGAGAGAGGAGGGAGACGAGCGGGGAGCTGAGCTCGGGCTGTTCGTTGTGGCTCACGGTGATGCTAGTTAATCTTTTCAGCGCTGAGCTCCAGCTCTGCCTGGGAGCTGCACACTTTCCTCCAGCCAGGTATGCGTTTTTGTTTTAGTTGGTGCTGACTTTTCTCCTGCGGAGGCTTTGGTCTCTGGGTCTTCCGTGTAGACAGGGGATTTACTGCCAGTGTGCACAGATCACTCTCAGCTGTGAAACATGCTTCTTAGCAGGGAGGAGAAACGTTCCAAGAGGAAAATATGGTGGGGCAAGGGGAAGTAACAGTGCTGAGAAAGATGTGCCCTACATGCTGCATGTGATTCGGGATTTGCTGCCTTGCCCTAGAAGGGGCTGCTTCTAGCATTTCTCAACTGGAAGAAGAATTATTCTGATATAGAGGCCTTTGCGTTCAGGCGCAAATTGCAAAATGCTGCTTTCCTCTGCGCTGAGCCGCAGGTGGGATAGTGGCAGCTGGCAGTGGGGAAGCAGCCTCCCCAGGGACGAGTCGCTTCTCCGTTCTGAGTTCATCGGTTCTCGTTGACTCCCCAGCAAGGTGATGAATCCTGCTATAACCCCCTAATCTGTTACTTCTTAAAATTAAACGTAGTTGCTGTTTCTCTTTTGCTAGGGTTTGTTGAGACTGAGTGGGGAGAAAAGTCGTGATGAAGAACCAAGGTGGGGAGACCAAAGCTGCCCTGCGGCCTGCTAGTTCTTCCAAAATGAGCAGCAGCCTCGTGCTGGAGGAAGGCGACTTACCTGAGGCCGCAGCACCCCTTGAAGGTGGGGAGACCCCCGGTCCCGGGACACGCAGCTCCCTGTCGGTGGCTGGGGGCAGTGCTGACAGCCCGAGCAGCGGCACGCAGGGAAGCGGGAGGGTGGGTTTCAAGCCTGAAAAGAGTTGATCTCTTGCTTTCTCCATAGGAGGGTGGGCTGTTGTATCCAACTCTTTTTACTTGTATAAGAGCAGTTGTGATGTCAGGAGCAGAAAATCCTTGTTTCTTATCGCTTCTGCGTATGTGCAGTTCTGAAGTAGTTACTGCTGCCTTGGGGAACAGGTTACCAAAGTGTGGAGTTGCATCTGCCTTTGATCCTGACCTGAACATGATGGGTTATTTGCTGTTGCTTAGACCTGAAGGATCCCATACAGGAGAAAAGTCAGACAATCTTTCCCTGGGGCAGTGTTATGTTGAGTGACCTGCCCTGTTATCGGCGCTTTTCAAGTCATAAAAATAATTCTCTAGAAGGAATAAAAAACATGTCTAGTAAAGTAGGTGCTTAGTTAAAATTCACCCTGCCTTATGTATATTCTGATGCCTAGTAAACGTGGGATGTAGTGAATGCCCAGTGCATAGCGTTAGTTTAATAACCAACTGCTGTCTGTTATCAAGGAGTCTCATTTGGGGGAATTTTGGAAGCTAAGACGCGTACTAAGGGATGGGCTGCCTACTCCTTCCCTAAGCATCTGCTGTTGGATGCTCTTAGGGACAAGATACCTTTGATCTGACCCAGTACAGCTGTTCTATATGTGACGAGAGAGGCTAACTTGGGTTTTAAATCTATTGTAGCCTTAAAAAGCCTCGCTCCAGGGATATTAGCAGGCTGTTCCTGTGAAGGAAAACTCATGCAAAACCTGCTTTCGTTAAAGGATGGTGGGGGGTGTGAAATTTTGCTCTTGACAGATGTCAGGGGCTTGGTCATGCTCTCGTGATCAAAAGAGAGGCTGTTAGGAATGCACCTCCATTGTCAGGGCAGCTGGCTGGAGACGCAGCCAGAACAAAGCAGCTTATGTTGCTGCAAGTTTAGCCTGCTCTGGTGCAGTGGGGTGCTGGGGAAACCTTCCCTGTGCTGTGTGTTTATAGGGCCGTAACAGAGACGAGAGAATAGACCGTGTGGGGGAAGTATCATGCTTTTGTGTTCCCTTCTCCCACAGCTCCTCTCGCACAGGAGGACACGAAGTCCTCCCGGCCTGCCGTGCGTGACGTCTCTGAAGAGCTAAGCAGACAGCTTGAGGACATCTTGAACACGTACTGTGTGGATGCCAGCCAGGAGGGTCCAGGGGAGGACGGCGGACAGAGTGAGCCTGTGGAGCCGGAAGAAGCGGAGAAGTGTCGTAGTGAGTCCCCGAGGAACGGCGACCAGGAGTTGGGCAGCCCCGAGATGAATGGGGAGAAGGAAAGCTCGAAGGGGACTGAAGAGTTTCGACCTGGCGAGGAGTGTGGGGAGCGGGATCAGAAGAGGGCGCAGGAAAAGAAGAAAGCCAAAGGCCTTGGTAAGAAGTTCCTCACTGTGGTATGCAGCCAGCTTGAGAACTTCAGTGCAGACATTTGATTTAGTTATTTATTTATTTTTATACTGCACTAACTGCTCAGTGAAATAAGCACCTTAGGTGCATGATGTACGGCAGTGTTTGGAAATGATGTGGCATCTCGTTCTTGTAGTACATGAGGAAATGTACTGAGTGCTGCAAAGGCACTGGCCGGTCCTGAGTGCTGCTGCAGCCTCTGAATTCTGCACATTTCCCTTCTGCTAGACACAGCTCTGCGCAGCCAGCCCAGTGGTGGTACCCGTTCTGAAAGCCAGGTCTCCCCACGCCCGCTTCAGTTGCCCCCCCGTGTACACAGTAAAATCTATGGGGCAGAGCCCAGAGAAGGCACTGGAGATTGTAGCTGTGGCTGTGAGACGGGGTGTGCACAGATGCCTGGTCTGTCTCTCCTATCCTTGCCTTATGAGCCAGAACTCTGTGTAAGGGATATATTTTTTAAAAATCTGTCTCTTGTTCCAGGGAAAGAAATCACTTTGCTGATGCAGACGCTGAACACTCTGAGCACGCCAGAGGAGAAACTGGCAGCACTGTGCAAGAAATACGCTGAGCTGGTGAGTCCTTATTTCTTCGTTCCAGGCTCTGGGGAAGGACACACTGCAACAGCAAGGACTGAGACTGTTTGACGAGGCAGAAGATGGCTGTAGATTTTTTTTTTTGTATTATTCTTTATTTTTGTTCTTGGTGTTGGGAGGGACAGCCCAGGTATGCTCATGTAGCTTTGCAGTGTATGTTCTGGGATCCCTGTGATGCTGGATATCCAAATTCCAGAGGATAGATGTTGCTTGGTCCAGCCAGGCATCGTTTAGGGGTTCTGCAGAGGTGCAAGCGAGGACAGGAATATTGTTGGCAGATCTGCATGGGAGAGTATTTCAGGTCTGTTTTCCCTCTCCTTTAATATTGCATCTCTCGCCTGTCCTGTCTCAGGAGAGTACTGTGGCCAGGTCTGTTATGCTGAGGCCTGCGTGTCCTGATCTCTCTCTGCAGGCAGTCCTCAGCTGCGCGTTGGCAGGCCCAGCTGTGACAGAGCACAACAGGAACACTTTTCTCCAGTCTCTACTACTCAGTCATTGTGTTTCTGTTGATAATTTCCCAACAAGAAATGTGTTTGCCAGAGTCACTGCACTGCTGCATGTGTGTTGCATGGCTGAACGTGCACACAAAAAATCCAATGCATCTCATGTGCCTCCTAGGGCTAGGAATTCTGGGCATGTGCCTAGATCCAGCGTGCAGAAGCATCAGGCCTTCTGCGCGCGTCCAAAGTGAATGTGTTCAGGACTGCCGTGCAGCTGGCCATGTGCTCAGAGCTCTGCTCTGTTTGAGCAATGTGCGTGTGGAAATGCTGGATAAATGTGCAAGTCTCTTGGATTCCAGCAGGATGATCAATTCGAGAAGGAGCAAAGTCACATCCGAGGTGACCTTGAACTCTGTGGCAGTCCTGCTCCACTCTAAAGTGGCCGCTTGTGATCTAAAGCTCTTGTCCTCCTCGGAGGACAGCGAGCACTTCTTTGATTCCCAAGATCCCTCCCAAGGTCACAGCGTTGCCCTGATGTGTTTTGCTGCCTCTTTTCCTTTTGCTCCCCTGCCGTAGCTGGAAGAGCACCGTAACTCCCAGAAACAGATGAAGATCTTGCAGAAGAAGCAGACGCAGCTGGTGCAAGAGAAGGACCACTTGCAGAGCGAGCACAGCAAAGCCATCCTAGCCCGCAGCAAGCTGGAGAGCCTGTGCCGTGAGCTCCAGAGACACAACCGCACCCTCAAGGCAAGTGCCTCGTGTTTTCCCACTAGCCCAGGAGCTGCTCGATCCCAAGCACTCGGATCGTTTGCTGTGGGGCTGCAAGCCACTTTGGCAAACTTACCTTCGCTTGTGTTTCCCCACAGTCTACTTCCAGGGCAGTGCTTTAATTTTGCTGTTAAGTCGTCATTTTGCAAGAAAGGCGAGGGATAGGAGGCACGGGGGTCAGCACACATGCTCTTGTCTTGAGAGGAGAGCAGGGTGCTTTGTGCACTAGCTCAAATGTCATAGGGGAAGGCAGGTAGGGCAGTGTCCGGGACCTAGCGTGTCTTTTGGTAACCGTGACTAGCAGCGATCTGGAGTGTTGGTTACTATCCATCCAGCTGTTTGCTAAAGCTGCAGTTGTGCAGGAGAGCTCTCTGGGGTCAGCAAACTTCTGCATGTCCTTACATCCCAAACAGCTCTGCAGCACTGCCCACCTCTGCCTTTAGGGTAAATTCATATAGACACCTAGGAGGGCAAGACACAACTTACCCAGCGTGTCTGAGCATTATTTCAGGGCCCGTTTACTGGAGAAATGGTGGGGAAAGGCCCAGAGCAGGCTGAGGAAGGGGGCAGTCCAGCAGTAGCCCAGTGTGCCTTCTCAGTTGATATAAGCAATAGCAGGAGCTGGGTGGGTTTAGAGCATCGTGGTTTGGGCAGGATTGCTCACCTACCTGTCCAGCACAGGGGCTGATGTGGTCCTGCTCTCTCTGCCCTCCTCATGCAGGAGGAGGGTGTCCAGCGTGCGCGGGAGGAAGAGGAGAAGCGGAAGGAGGTGACATCCCACTTCCAGGTGACACTGAACGATATCCAGCTCCAGATGGAGCAGCACAACGAGAGGAACTCCAAGCTGCGCCAGGAGAACATGGAGCTGGCGGAGCGGCTCAAGAAGCTCATCGAGCAGTATGAGCTGCGGGAGGAGGTGGGTCGGGGCAGGAGGCCTGCTGTAGGGCTGCTCTGATGTTTCCATTCTGGCCAGTGGAGTATGTGCCTGGGATGGTGACAGCTGCTGGCCTCAGAGGGGAGAGGGGACCTCCGGGTTCCTGGGATCTTCCCTTGGGATCACTGCCATTGCCATGTGGGCAGCATGGCCCCAGCTGAGCTTGTCAGTGACCAGTGGTGTGTTTTCCTTGGCAGCACATCGATAAGGTGTTCAAACACAAGGACCTGCAGCAGCAGCTGGTGGACGCCAAGCTCCAGCAAGCACAGGAAATGCTGAAGGAGGCAGAGGAGAGGCACCAGCGGGAGAAGGACTTTGTAAGTCTGACTGCGATTCTTTAACGGCAGCAAACTTTTTGCCTCGTCTCTCTGTGGAGGCTTGTTACCATCAAGCTTCCGAGTGTGGAGCCCAAATTGGATCAGGCCATCCCAGGCCTGCCATGTACCCGCCTGTGACTGTTCCCCCAGCTGCCTCAGGAGCGAGACTGGAGCCCTGCTCTGCTCTTGATGTTTCTCCCGGCCCTCTGCTGCCTGAGGCCAAGCACCAGCCATGCAGGGGCATGTTGAGAGCCTTCCCTGGTGGCAGCAAGGTAACTGCATTTGCTCTTCCCTAGCTGCTGAAGGAAGCTGTGGAGTCGCAGAGGATGTGTGAGCTGATGAAGCAGCAGGAGACCCATCTCAAGCAGCAGGTGAGTTACCTGGTCTGTGTGGTCGGCCTGCTTTGTTTTCTTTCCTCCCTCAACAGAGATGAGCCACTTAAGCTCCCTAAGCTGGAAAACACAGGGGCAGGATTGTCGCTGAATTTGACATTGGTGAGCCCATGTCAGCACAGGAAGCACAGTGTGAGCTGGGACCTCCTTCAGCTCTTCTGCCTCCTTGGAGAAAGGGGCCTTGGTTTTACCGGTGCCTTTCCCAGGGCTGGGGCTTTCATGTGAACATCCCTTGCTGAATCAGACTCAGCAAGTGTTTCGTGTTGAGGCCAGGAGACGTTCACAGGGCGCATCGCTCTAAGGATGTCCCTGTAAGAAAGTGGGAGGGTTGTTCCCCGTTCTCCAGTGCCTATGGCGGCAGAGCAGCTCCGTGCTGTGAGTTTGTTGTGAAGTCCAGCCCCATGATAACTAGCTCGTTCTTGGCTGAAATCTCTCCCCTCCTGGGGAGGGCTGAGTGGGAAGGCTGTCAGGTGTTGTGGTGAGCAGTGAGGCGCTGTAACCCTTTCTCTTCCCCCAGCTGGCTCTCTACACAGAGAAGTTTGAAGAATTCCAGAACACCCTTTCCAAAAGCAGTGAAGTGTTCACAACTTTTAAACAGGAGATGGAGAAGGTGGGTAACTCTGTCACTGCCTCGCAGAGCTAGTGTGGGCTGGAGGCACTGCCCGTCTGTCTCTCCTCGCTGCTTTTGCAAGCCAAGAAGCAGCAGCTCCTTGGCTTTGTTCAGCTGTACTGGTATTAAAATTGGCCGTGAGCTGGCTGCTCGTAGAAAACGGATGCCATCCTTGTGGGGTAACTGCTGTGCCCTGACATGTATCAGATCAGCCTCTGGCTCCTGGATTTGTTGTTGCCTGGTTGGTGTTTCCCACCGGTGAAGTTGACTCCAGTGAGATGAGGAGCTGTTTTCCAGGCCAGCAAGGATGGCAATGTCTCGCTCTCTGCGCTGGGAAAGCGGGTGCACGTTTGAGGGTATCCTACGTGCAATCGACTGCAGTGCTCTGCCTGTGGCTTATTTGTTTCTTTTTTGTCGTTGTGATTCTATAGATGACTAAGAAAATCAAGAAGCTAGAGAAAGAGACCACTATGTACCGTTCTCGCTGGGAGAGCAGCAACAAGGCTCTCTTGGAAATGGCTGAAGAGGTAAGGAGGCTCTGGCTGGTTTTTCTCCTGTGCTGACTCAGGCAGCTGTTGACCCACTGTAGGGCTTTGGGCTGGAGCTGAGGAATAGCAGGACAGCTTCTGTCTTGTTGCGGGCATGATGTATGGTGGGGGTTGTCTTTCCCTTCAGCTTGATTTCCTTCCCTGTACATGGTGATAGGAGCCTTCTATCGTGTGGCAGAAGTGAGGGTTAATGACTGCAGAGGTACTTGGAAGAAGTTGGAGACAGTCTCAGCTGCACTTGGCCTCCATGGGGGCAAAGGGAGAAAGAAGCAGTGACGCTAGCACCAGGTCCTTTGAATGCTAAGTGTTTGCTCAGTCACGAATATATTCCTCCTGAGTTCCCTTTGGGGTTTTCTCTCTCCCTTTCTGCCTCCCTCCCCAGGGCAGCAGTCTGAGCTACCTTTCTCTTTGCAGAAAACCCTTCGGGATAAGGAGTTAGAGGGGCTTCAGGTGAAAATCCAGCGCCTGGAGAAACTGTGTCGAGCCCTGCAAACAGAGCGCAATGACCTCAATAAGAAGGTGCAGGACCTGTGTGCCCACGTGCCCCGGGCAGACACGGACCTGTCGGAGCCTTTGAAGGACCCATCTCAGGAGGGCTCCGAGGCAGCGGCGGCGGGGGGTGCGCCAGCAGAGCAGCACCTGGCTGAGGATTGCCTTCACTTGGCCCCGCTTGGCGGTAGCCAGAGGTAGGGCAAGGAAGGGAGGGTAACACGAATGTTTCCACAGACTTGACCTGATACCCCTCTCCCAGTCCTCGGACAAGTGTGAGGGGACAGCCCTGCATGGGCTTTGAGATTTCCTAGTTTAGGTTTTTGGAGGGTTTTTAAAATTATATATATATATATATATGATATATATATGATATATAAAATACGTGCAGGGCAACATACACTTTATATATGGATATATATGAAAACTAGAATGACCCACCTCCCTGTATGTGAATAATATATGGAGACTCAACTGATCGGCCCTTTCACTAAAAGACCTTGTCATTGGCAGGCTGTGACTCCCCTAAACTCTAGCACAGCTCAGGAAAGCAGGTGTGTGGAGCTGCCCCGGCCCTCCTCCAGCGTGCGGCACTGGGACAGCTGGACGTGTCGCCTCCTCCACCTCCAGATCAACGCTCTCAAGGCGAGTTAAAGTAAAAGAGCTGAGCAGGGGAGAGCTGTGTTTCCCAGCACTGGATTTTCCCTTCCTCCTCTGGATCTGGCCTCGGGCAGGAGGGAGCTCCTGGACTTGCTCTCGTTTTTTCATGTCCTGACTGGCAGTACTCTCTCGTCTGCGAGCTGAGCAAACGAGGGCGAAAGAGACTGTCTTTCCTCTGTTGAATGGGTTTTGTGTATTGAATGGGAACAAAAAGAAGCAGAGTAATTGTGGGTGCCTGGTACACACAGGCCTCCCACGGGGCCTTTGCTATTCCCAAAACCTGCAAATGTCTCAATAGCCTTATGATTCACAGTTGCCTCTTTGCTATACGCACATGTGCACAAGTGTATTAAACAGTTAATCCAAAGGTCTAATTCCTAAGTGTTTTGCACAAGCGCGTGTGATCAGTTGTGCAAAGGGATGGGGAAGTCCTTCCACCTGAACTCCTTTTCCCTGTCTTTGGACCTCCAGATGCCCATCCCGCGGTGCTGAGCGGGGCGGACTCGGAGGCGTTTATAGAGCTGGGGTTCCAGGAGGATAAACTCTGTGTCTGCTCCATGACACTCTGCTTAAGCTGAATCACTGGGACCACCGCAAGGACCGTGTTCTGGGCTGGTCCCTCTGCGGAGTCGGACCGTCCTGTCAGGCTGTGCTGGTGCTCTGGTGCTAAGACAGGTCTCTCTCTCTCTCTCCTTTTCCCATCCGCTTTGTCAGAAGAGCATCTCCCAAGTGCCCTGCTGTCACCCTGCCTGCGCCACCGCCGTCATGTCTGGGAGGACGCCTGTGGACTCTCTTGTCTGCAGGATGGGGTGGACAAATGCTGATGTGCTCTGCCCAAAGGACCAGGTTGTGCTTGGAGGCTGTTTATGGACAGACACACGAGGCCTGCCTGCGCTTGGGGTGCTTGGGGGACTTCTGTTTAGTTTCTCAAGACTTTTTCTTTTCCTTGGACTTTCTGGGAGACCCCTGCTTATTTGGAAACTTTCTTGCTGCAGCTTCTCTTTACAACAGACTTTATTTTCAGTATTGCCTTCCTTTTGCTTTAAGCTCAAGTGAGCTGGCCTGAGCCATTCCTCGTGGTGGATGTATTTAGTGGAACAGCTTTGATTTCTCTTCTAGCAATAGCGTTGCTCTTCATGTCTTCTCTCTGCAAACGTACAGCGCCCTTGCGAAGGACCTGCCTCGCTGCTGGGGGGAGCAGCCTGCAGGAGTTGCCTCTGTGCCCCCACCTTCCTCCACCAGGTTTCCAGCAAATTCACATTTAACAGATGCGGTCATCTGCAGTGGAGATGGGGTCTAGGTAGCCTCTGCAGAGCTGCAGTCTTGAATGTGCAGTGGGACGTGTTCCCCGGGACTTAGCTTGGTTTTTGTCTTTTGGCCCCTCGCTTTCAGTATTGTTTCTTCCAGCACAGGGACACCTCTGCCTCCGACAGGCGCTGGCCCTTTCTGAGCGAGCGAACGTAGCTCTGGCCGGGGGGGACTAGGCTGTTTCCCCATGGCCTGCTTGAGCAAAGGCTGCAGCCTGTCTCTGGACTTTCTTTCCTGCTCTTTCACTAAAAGAAAAACCTTTTACAAGTCATAAGCCCCCCCACTTTTTTTTTTTTTTGGTTACGGTACAGATAGCCTCTGCGTGGGGTCTGTTGTATGTATCTGCAAACCCAATAGAAATGCACATAAACTTGCTGCTGGTGTCCATGTTGTCTCTCTGTCCTGCTCAGTTCTGGTTATGACGGGCTGTTTGGGGCTCTGCGTGGCAGGCGCTGCTGTGCTCCCATGCCGCCCTGCACCGGGTCCCCTGGAGCAGCCCTGTAGATGGGGCATTTCATGCTACTGTGCTAATTAGGCAGCATTTGGGAGAGGTCTGGGGCACTGGGCCTTCGTGCAGGAACGGGCACGGCTTTGCCACCCCGCCGGGTCCCTGGCAGGGAAGGGGAAAGGCTCCAACGTCTCTCGAGGAAACAAGTGCTGTCCCAGGCCCTCGGGACAAGGGGGCGCAACGGGCCGGGAGCAGAGGGGCGTCCCTGCCTGTGGGGAAGGGTCGGGGGGTTTGTGCCACAGGGTGGCCAGTGGCCACGAGAGCTGGCCGCCCTCCCTCCCAGTGCGCCCACCCCTGCCATCCTGCAGGTACCGCTCGGGTGGAAACGTCCTGGCAGTGGGACGTCCAGTGGGATCAACCCCCCCGCCCCAAGCGGCCAGCCCTGGCATTTGCATCACCCCCATGTTCTTAAGATTGGCTTACAAACCTGCGGTGATTTAAATAAGAAGCAGTGTTCAATTCTTTGTATGCTGGGCTGACTGTTCCTGTCTCTAACCTTGTCCCTATGTGAGAGGGCTGGAAGCTTGTTTTTGTGAAAATGGATCCTGCGATCACATGAATCCGGATGCTAAAATCAGAGAAATGGGTCCCGCGGGGGACACTGGGGGTAAATCCCTGCGAGCGGCAGCCCGAGCTGATTTAAGGGGAGGCCAGGCGGCAGCTGAGGGCGCAGGCAGGCGCCCGGCGCTGGGGGAAGGCGCGCAGGGGCCAGCCCCTTATCTGCACCAGGG